GCGCCTCCTGCTCCCGGGCCCTGAAGCCTCGGCTCCGATTGTTGTGTCGGTTCTAGGCTGGGTCCGTGAACCCCGGGGTTGGGAAGCTGGGCCGAGCCCCCGGTGTGTTTTTCCTGTTGGTTTTAATGTTATTGATGTGGTTTTCTCTTTAGTTTAATGTTGTTAATGGCTTTGTTTTCGGGGCGGTTTGACTCCGTGTCCCGCCCGCCCGCACGCACCCTGTCCCGTTCCACCGACGGCGAATCAAAACATTTAACTCGGTTCATCCGCCCGCCCTCTCGGCAACTGTTCCGTTTAAGAGAGTCGGTCGGCATGGACGAGATGGGGCTGAAGGGCCTGTTTCTCCGCTGTATGACTTTGAGTTACCTGTTTCTCCCGCTATCCCTTAATTGTCACTGGAATGTACAAGCTTGTCAAGTCTGATTGAAAAATTTAAGCTGCTTTCCGAACAAATTGAAACTTTGCAGAGTGTACAGTGTGACCTATTCCACTAGGCTTGGTGCTGTATATTATTTTAATAAATCTGTTCCAGTCTCTCTCTCTGTCTAACCTGTGGTTTTTCCCTTACCTGTCCTGTGAATTGTCCATTTAGTCATATTAAGCTGCTGTGCTATATATTCCCACCTGATCTTAAGGAGCGGGAGCAGGTGAAACCATACAGTCCCTTGAGCCTGTTCTGTTATTGAATACATCAGTGTCTAAAGTTTTTGAGAAGATTTGTAGCTCATGTTGTGGTTGAGGTTGTAGGCATGCTGGCTGAGCAGTGGGTTTGGTTAGGTAACGTTGTCAGTGCACCTCCGATGAGGCATCAGTGATCTGTCCCACTTGTTAATTATATCCCTCAAATTTGTTGGGGTGGTTGGTACCACTTCTGGTTCTGTGTTCCAGTGGATTGTATGCAGGGTCTAATTCAATGTGTTTGTTGATGGACTTCCAGTTAGAATATCAGGCCTCCAGGAATTCCCTCGCATGTCTCTGTTTGGCTTGTGCGATTATGGATGTGTTGTCCTACTTGAATTTGTGACTCTCTTTGCCCATGTGTACTGAGACCAGTGAGAATTGGTCGTGTCTCTTGGTGGCTAGTTGGTGTTCATGTATCCGTATTGTCAGTTTTCTTCCAGTTTGACCTATCTAATGTTTCTCACAGTCCTTACGTGGTATTTTGCATATTACACCGGTTTTGCTGGTTTTGGGTATGGGATTCTTTATGTTCTTCAGTAGCTGTCACAGGGTGGTTGTTGGTTTGTGGGCTACCCTGATACCGAGGGGTCTGAGTGGTCTTGTGGTCATCTCTGATATGTCCCTGAGGTATGGTAGGGTGACTAGTGTGTCTGGTCATGTTGTGTCTTTCTGTTGTGGAGGTAATCACTAATCACCCTACCGTAGAAGAAGGGTCCTGACCCGAAACGTCAACTTTCCTATTCCTCTGATGCTGCCTGGACTGCTGTGTTCCTCCAGCTCCACACTGTGTTAACATTGAATTAGACCTTGTGTACAAACCACTGAAGAACAGAGCCAGAAGTGGTACCAAACACCCCACAAATTGAAGCATATAAATAACAGGCGGGACAAAACACCAACGCTTCACTGGAAGCGTGCTGACGATGTTACCTAGCAGGGTGACGAAACGTTTGCAATCAAACCCACTGGCTCGGCGAGCAAGTCTACAACCTCATTCATATATGATTTGCGTTGCCTCCTTTGCCATACTATTCCTATCTCCCTTGACTTTTTCAGTGCCCAAAAACCTATCACTTCAGTTAAGAATATAGTCATCAACTGAGTATCCACAATTCCCTGTGGTAGAGGATTCCAAAGATTCACCATCCTTTGTGTTGTGAGCCCTCTGAGAATTTTCTTCTCGTTTTCAATCTGAAATCATTTATTTAATAGAGACCACAATAACCCCATGTCTACACTGTCCAGCCAGGTGAAGCACAGCCTCTCAGCAGCTGACCTGTCAGACTCTCCATCCCCACCGCTGCCCCCACAAGAATTTTGTATTTCATTGAGAATCTTGAGCCAACCAGGGGCTCTGTAAAAATACAGCAGAATGGGGGAGAGGGTCATATCTGAGATCTTACAAGTAAGAATGGATATTGCACACAGCCTGATTAGCTGTACCTGAAATGTATAGCACAGAAAGAGCTTGTTCTTGTGCTGGCTGACTCTTTGACCTGTTTCCTTTTCCAGGGTTTTGACTTGGCAACAGTGAAACCTGAACTCCTAATTCAGGCAGACATTGCCAGTACAGTTCTGAGAGAGTGCTACACAGTCAGAGGTGCTGTCTTTCAGATGAGACAAACTTGAAGCCTCATTTGTCCTGTCAGGTGAATGTAAAAGATCACACAGCCACTAGTTAGGAGAAGCACAGGGGTTCAATTCTAGTTTCTACTGCAACATAGGAACAGGTGATTCAGGGCCAATTAAGACTGTTTAAACAAAATCCTGTGGTTATCATTCCTTCTGGAGCTGTTGCCAAAATCCACACGACCTGATCGTTCCCATCTCAGTTTGTGGGGTCTTACTGTGTCCAAATTGGCTGCCATATTTCCTTACAAAGGAACAGTGGCTACAACTGAAAAGAAATTCATTGTAAGGTTTTACATTCATAAAAGCAATGCTAATTAAAAGGAGCTGATCCAATTGTGTGATGGATCTTAAAACTCACAGCTTCCTGTACTGCAGCATGGAAGGGGATGCCTGATTTGTCTCTTCCTTAGCTCAGGGATGCAGAGGATTATTATAATGTGTTTTATTGTTCTTCATGTCTGACAGTGGCTCACCCAGTCTGGAGAATTTCTGGTTGAAGCTGACCTGATTAGTTGTTAGCAGTGGATTGAGATTGCACCATTTGTGCTCTTTGCCATATTAGAATTGGATTACTTTTGTTACACCTCAGTGGAGTCGTGCTGGAAATCAAGACCCGCTATTCCTGGAGTCTCACAGAAGTTAAAGATTTTTTAAAAATGTGCTAAATTCCCCAATTTACCTTCTTTAGATCCAGCTAGACAAAGCATGAACAGGGTTTCTGTGCTTAACAAAAACTACTCTTTGTTATTAGGCTTTAGCCATAGGTAAACAATTGTGAAATATCAGCATAAAGCGCTCCTAAGTAAAACTCATGTCCCCATATGACATCTCCCCCAGCCACCCTTCCTTACACACACAGACACAGGAATAAACCTATGGGTGTCATGGATGGAGAGAGAGACTGGGAAGGCAGTTCAATAGTTCTGGAGATTATTTTATGATTTTTGTGCTGGTTCTTGGTTAACCTTCTTCAGACGCTTCCTCTGGTTTGTAAAAAGCACAGGGTGTGGTTCACTTTGCAGAAGTCTCTGACTTATCAGTTAGAAGTCACAGCTGACAGTTACTGCTGAAGGGAAGAAAGTGGTTTTGGTAGGCACAATGGTAGTACCCCTACCTCGAGGCCAGAAGGCCTGTTTTCAAGTCCCACCTGCTCCAGAGGTGTGTTATAATGCATCTGATTGAAAATGTCTAAACTGATTTTCTTCAGGCTTAAAGTGGCTATACGTGCAGGGAACAGAGAGAGCTCTTGAGCAGGTACGGTTCTGATACCTTCTCTGTATCTTGTTCACAGTCCCAAACTGTTCAGCTCTCAGAAAACCAATCACACAGTTGTTGGCAAACAGAAGGCCTTTATCTTTGGTTGGTGGAATAGTGATCAGTTATCAATCAGGTACCTGTACCAACCAACGCTCCATTTGTACACAGCCTTCGGTTAGTCTGCAACCACACTTGGACAAGCAGCTGTGTAAACTATGCTTGCACTGAGTGGCCAGCATGGAACAGTTCACCAGCCATCCATGGTTTTAAAACTGTTCTTTTCTCATTTCAGTCTCCAATTGAAAATACAGAAAAACAAAAAGACATAGTCTTTAAACTTTGAAGATATCACTAACTGGTCATGTTGTCTGGTTTCAGTTACTTGATGAAAACAACCAGTTAATTCAGTGCATTGTGGAGTACCAGAACAATGGAAAGGCTGCAGAGTGCACTCAGTAAGTCATTTATTTTCTGATTTAATAGCGAGGAAGAGAGAAGAAATTGAGTTTTCTTTTGAAAGAAAGCTTATTGGGCCAGGTGAAAATTTAACTAGATAAGTTACTGAAATATTTATTTGCAATAAGTATAAAGCACAAGTTGTAAAGAAGTAGTAAG